GGTTGTATACCACATGCCAACCAATGTCAGTGATATGCCAACTGCAAGTATCCCATTGGCTCTGCAGAGCTTATTTTATAAGCTTCAATACAGTGACAGCAGTGTTGCAACGAAGGAGTTGACAAAATCCTTTGGGTGGGATACATATGACGCTTTTTTGCAACATGATGTACAAGAACTCAACAGAGTTCTTTGCGAAAAGCTTGAAGAAAAGATGAAGGTCCCTAGAAAACATTTTAGTTATCTTTTACACTAGTTGTAATTGCCTTAAATCGAGTTTTATTTTTAGCTGACTGTTGGCACTACTATTGTCATTTTGTTATCAGAGAACTGTTGTGGAAGGCTCCATACAGCAGTTATTTGAGGGCCATCATATGAACTATATAGAATGCATCAACGTGGACTACAAATCTAGTAGAAAGGAATCATTCTATGGTACTTCAACATCACTTGCACGGCCTTGACTGCTGATTTTATGCTAAACTTTTATGAACATCTGTATCCTCTATGTGGCAGATCTTCAGCTTGATGTTAAGGGCTGTAATGACGTCTATGCCTCATTTGATAAGTATGTCGCAGTTGAACATCTAGATGGAGACAACAAATATCACGCTGAACAATATGGTTTACAGGTGCATAGATCGACTAGATTTCGCAAATGTTGTTTTGCCTGTTAAAATCTGATTGATCTTCCGTGACCTTTACTTAATGTATAGCTGTCAGCTGAGCTAAGCTCTGGTTGCCGGTTCATGTTTATATTAGCTGGGTTGCCCAACACCCTGTTTTTGTGTTTCTGTTAGGACATATAATGTATGCACTGAGTTATGCAAAATAATCATCTTTCTACTCGTTTCTTATTTCAGGATGCTAAGAAAGGTGTCTTGTTTATTGACTTCCCTCCAGTTCTCCAGCTTCATTTAAAGCGGTTTGAATATGACTTTTCGCGAGACATTATGATTAAGGTCAGCAGTAAAGTGTGATATCTGCATTTTCTGTTCTGACTTCTAATTGATGAACTTGCCTGGTGCATTATATCTGTGGTACGAAATAGACTTGATGAAGATGAAATACATATGTCCCTTCATATTGAGTTCCTGCATGATTTTGAACATTACAACTTGAGTGAGTAGGGAAGAATGGTTGAACCTTTAATGGGGAAAGTAGACCTGTGTTAGTATAACAACTCATACGTAACACATATGCTGGTATTCAGCATTAGTATCTAAAATCATGATGACTTTGTTGTTCGAGCAGTAACTTCAAGGCACAATGCGAGGCCAAAAGCTTATATGGATTTCTTCTTTCCAACATGAATTGCTCTGGCTGCAGACATACACAACCCTGCTTAAAGCTTTGATTTGTTGGGCATTAATAATTTTCGTAGTTGTTTTAACTTGTACTTAGGGGTGCGTATCTGTCTTATCCCATTCAAATTTCTTTCACATAAGTGGTTAATTATCTCGGTTATGATGATGCAGATAAATGACCGCTATGAGTTTCCGCTTCAACTTGATCTGGATAGAGATAATGGCAAATACTTGTCACCAGAAGCTGATAGACGAGTACGCAACCTTTACACACTTCACAGGTTAGAAGATAGAGATTGTTTTCCCTAAAAGTTACATATGGATTTTAATCGCAAATACATAATGTGGTTCTTGCATTGTCCTTGTTACAAATATGGTTGTGCCTTCTCCTTTAATAGTTTATCTCTGGTTTCATGAATCATTATCCCAATCACAAGTCCCTTTTTTATTTCTTATCTAGACCGTTCTTTTGTAAGAAATCCGCTACCTTTCCATTTTTATGGAATATTTTCCCTTTTGAACTGTAATTTATGATATGACGGGTAACTTTTAAAATTATGTGCTTTTGCTCAAAGTTTACAAGTCAGCAAATCCAAATTTGTCGCTTCAAAATGTGTTCAACATTTGTTTATTTCCTTCGATAAATTATTTTGATGCTTATTGTTGTATTTCGAAAATTCTTTTCTGTATGACTTACTGCTTACAAGTGATGTAGCCATTGTGGCTAAAAGCTGATAACACATTTTCAGTACCTTCCTTAGGTCCTTGAATCAACCAGTGCATCTCAATGCATATATTGTAACCTTTATTGCATTTGGGGATTTCCCTGGAATATTTGTTTCTTATCCACCAACTGTAGAAAGTTGAATCATGCAGTGTTATGTCATCCCCTCTCCCTTCCCCACTTGATGCTGACCAGTTTGTTTATTTGCAGTGTTTTGGTCCACAGTGGTGGTGTGCATGGTGGACATTATTATGCTTTTATAAGGCCCACTCTGTCCAGCCAATGGTACATATCTATGCTCAAACTTGATAATCACGTTTGCAGCAAATTTAGCTGTGATGCATTTTATAATGGGTTAATAGCTATTTGGATGGAATGTGTCCAGATTTCTTGTCATATCTACGTGCTGCATAAACTAGAATGCTATCCGTAGTTTGTAATGCATTTAATGATTGTCCATAGTTTCAAAGACAGCTCTATCGTAGATAAACAATTTATCAAAGTTATCAGAGCACACTTTCTGAGTTATGTAGTGAAAGCCTAAATGATTTGGAGAACGAATTCATATTGATAGTTTTAGAGTGAGTTGTTTTATGTAAATTATTCTGAATGGACTGAAGGTATAAATTTGATGATGAACGAGTGACCAAAGAGGACATGAAAAAGTCTTTGGAAGAGCTATTCGGTGGTGAGGAAGAAGTAGGTTTCTGTCTCTCCAACTCTCTCTCTCTCTCTCTCTCTCTCTCTCTCACTATATGTATATCCCCTTCATATAGATTGTTCTTGGCTGCTTATATTTTGAGTTGTTGCAAGTTACAACCTTACATTTGGATCATCTCAGCACATGATGCAGACAAATCAGGGAATCAATACTACACCTTTCAAGTTTACAAAGCATTCAAATGCTTATATGCTGGTGTATATACGTGAAAGTGATAAGGATAAAATAATGTGTCATGTTGATGAGAAGGACATCGCGGAGCATCTTAGGGTCAGATCATCATATCAGCAGATTTTTGGTTATCTTGAGAATTTGTTCCTTTCCCCCTATATCTTGGCCTTATTAAATATTCTGATGCCACCTATAGGAGCGGCTGAAGAAAGAGCAAGAGGAAAAGGAGCAAAAGAGAAAAGAAAAGGCTGAAGCTCATCTTTACACTGTTGTAAAGGTGGTTCATTTTATTTTAAACTTGTAAAGATGGTTTATTTTGTTGTTTTTTTCTTCTCCTCTTTCAGAATGGTTACTTCATGTAAGAAAATAAACTGTGTTTTCAGGTTGCATGTGATGAAGATTTTGCTTGGCAAATTGGTAGGAATGTCTTTTTTGATTTAGTGGATCACGATAAAGTGAGGAGCTTTCGTGTCCAGAAGGCAATGCCATTTAACATTTTCAAGGTGTATACTATATAACCTTGATAAACACAAGATCTGATTTTTGTTAAATTGTATCTTGGTTGTAATTATTTTAGCTGTTGTATCTATTCAGTTGGGAAGACAAGGTAGCATGCTGATAAATCAGCATTTATGATATAGGACATAATTATAGTGAATTGGACTAGTCTTACGTGAACTGCAGTGAAAAATTTCAGATGAAGTTATTGTTTATTTGAAGCTAGAAGCTAGTTTGAGCTTGCTCTACTAGCATGGATGTGTGTGGGGTTGCTAAAGAGAGTATGCTTTTACAGAAAACAGTTAATTTAGTTTGCGCTGGCCTCCTAGCATGGATGTATGGATGTTTGTTAAAGAGAATGCTTCGTCGCTTTTCTAGAAACAATTATGTTTCCACTTAACGTGGTAGTTGTATACATAGAACGTCTCACTAAGTGTTGCCAATTTGTGCCATCTTTGTCCTTGTGATAACAATTTGATTAACTGGGTAATTAATAATTATTATCATAATAACCTTTACATTATGTGTATATGCTAAGGCGCTGTCTTGCTGCAACTAGGGTAAAGTTGTAACCAGTGAAAGACTAGAAAATACACATCCTGATGTCCATCACAATTGTGTTGAAAAAATATTACGATAGAAATAAAATATATAATTTCTTTATTTTAGCTGTATAGAGTCAGCTAAAGGTCCCATGACCTTGTGGCTCAAGTTGTACCTCTCACAATTTTAAAGGGTGTTGAATTGGTTAATACAAAGTTCAATCCCTGCATCATGCAGTTTCTTAGGAATTTAAACTCCCTCCACTGCCATTCCTCCTGTTACTAAGCGTAGAGCCCTATCAAATAATTCTTGTTAAAAATTCTTTCTTGGAGTGCTTTTTACCTTGTTGTAAAAACTTACTGATGTGACCTGTTACTAATTAATGTTTAATATATTTTGTTTGTGTCCGTGGTGAAAACCTTCTAAACTTGTGTGTTACTTGTTTCTTTGAGAACCCACCCACAAAAAGAAAGGAAGTGAAGGAGAATATGGGTATACCTTCAATGTTGCCACGTGTTTCTCTTCTTTGCTTTTTCAAATGTACATCGTGTGTTTTGAGTTAATTCGTTCATACTTTACTTTTATCATATCTTCTTTTTATTTGTGTTATTTTTTTACTGATATGTGTTTGTTTAATTCTTTGTTACTCTGGTGGAGTCAAATCCTATGTCCTCAGACATGTGCTAGATTTCCTTGGATTTGCACAATGAAGTTGCAATTACTGTTGTCATTGTTAACTATATAATATCAGCTAACTGTGAAGTAACCCCAGGAAGAGGTCGCAAAGGAATTTGGTATACCTGTGCAATTCCAGCGCTTTTGGCTGTGGGCAAAGCGCCAAAACCACACATGTCGTCCTAACCGGCCATTGACTCAACATGAGGAAACAGAAACTGTAAGCATCCTTTGGCTTTGCCTCAAGTTATTTTAATTACTTGCTCAATGCTGACTAATATGTAGACTTTTGATCCTCTTCTTTGTTCTATATTATCCTTGAATACATTCATCCTGTGGTAGTATTCCCAATTCTGGTTCTCTTGATCTCTTCCTTTCCTCCTGGTTAGTAATTTCATTTCTGATTTATTGAGCTAAATTCCAATGAAAAACGTGAGGAAGAATTGCACTATATATATGTATATATATATATTTCTTTTAATTGATTGGTTATGTGGTCTTCTTTGAATTGTCAATAGTGTATTGCTTGTTGTACTGTCACCCACTCAATGACGATTTAGTTCTTTCTATCTAGTTACTTTATAGGTTGAAGCTCTGAATGCACTGTGCCTTATTTTTACAGTTTTTGCGTGTCAATTGACATGTTTTAAGTATATTTACTCGGATCTATATGACCAAAGTTTGCACTTGCCCTTGTTGATCTAGCCTTGGTTTCACCAAGTTTCTTGTTCATAAAGCCACAAATACATGGTGAATTACACATTTATCAAGTGCTTTACATAATTTCTGTAGTCAGTATGAGTGACATACAAACCACGATCGCAATTATGTACAAAGTGCAAACTAACGAAAAATCTCTAATGCCATCTAAATTTCTTGAGCTGTGTTTATATGTTTTCCTGGAATACACTTCCCTGACATAACAAAATCTTGATATGAACTTATGTAAGATTGCATGGTGCAATGACTGGTGTGTCCGTGTAACTAATGATAATCAACACTTTTTTGTTAAATTTTTTCATCCCTTAATTTGTTTATTTGCATAATGATGCATCAAATTTCTCAGTACTCATGGTAATAGGTAAATGATGTAATGTTCTCGTCGTCATTGTTAATGATTGATTGTTTGTAGGTTGGACATTTGAGGGATGCATTTAATAAAGTTCAGAATGCTGACCTGAGGTTATTCTTAGAATTGGAGCTTGGACCGGTAATTTAATGTTTTTGTACAAACGCCTTTAGTGCCATACTGCCGCCGAGGTATCGCCCTTTTCAAATGTGGTGTTACTTTAATTTCTATTTTGTCATAATAGGATTTGCAGCCCAAGACTCTCCCTGATAAGGGTAAAGACGACATTTTGTTATTCTTCAAGCTTTATGATCCAGAAAAGGAAGTGCTTAGGTATTCTTCATCTTCTTGTTCTTTATCTAGTTGTTTCATTGGTTTGTAGTGTTTCCAAATATTCCTAGAAGGCAAAGATGAGATCCATTTCTTTGACAGTTTGTGCATCTTCATTTAATATCAGATATGCTGGAAAACATTTTGTTAAGAGCATGAGCAAGCCAATAGATATCTTGGCTAAACTAAATGAGATGGCAGGCTATGCCCCTGATGAAGACATTGATCTCTATGAGGTTTGTGTTAATATGTCATGCCTAGTCTAGTGACAGAGAATATCGTTGTTCATTGTAAATCCCTGATAATCTTCTGTACACCTTGATTTATCTTTCATTTAATATGAAAAAGTAATCTATTAGGTTGAAGATATTGTCATTTGTTTACAACATATATCGTTTTGCCCATCAAAGATTATTGTTCTATTCCTTTTCTGCTCTTATTAGTACACTGGATTTGGTCATGTATAACTGTATTTTGTTATTAATTCCCCTCTTCTTCTTGACCTGAAAGGTGGGAATGGGTGGGGTGGGTGCGCATTACATTATTTGTTAGTTAGTTTTATGGATAAATTTCCTTCCATCCTGCCAAACTGGCTCTGTGTCAAGTATTTTGTTGGATCACATTATCCTGCAGTTTGTCAAATGTCCATTGAATAGACAGTGGAGCCCATATTTAATGTCACTGCTCAAAAGTGCGACAACAAATTCCTTTAATATGATAAAGATGTCTTGTGTTTCTGGTGTTCAGGAAATAAAATTCGAGCCCCATGTCATGTGTGAACTGATTGACAAGAGATTTACATTTAGATCTAGCCAGGTTTGTTTCATCATAACCCCTTTCATGCTATGTGTAGCGGATTTTTCTTTTGACAACTATCCTTTCCTTTCTACCTGCAGCTTGAGGATGGAGACATAGTTTGCTTTCAGAAATCTCTTTCAGCCCAGGCTCGTCAACAACTTCGTTGTCCAGATGTTCCAACATTCTTTGAATACCGTCATAATCTCCAAGTAAGTTGCATTAGAAATTAAAGGAACATTATTAGTATCTATCATGTGTTCTTGGACTAATTGATAGAAGCATCCCTCAATTGTTACAGCATGCCTGTTTGGCTGAATGTTACAAAATTTCCTGTTGTATTAAAGTTGACATGGTTTTATAGTGATGGATTCAATGTGCATGGTAACTAAGTGCGCTTTCTAGGTGTATGGTTACTTTGGAATGCCCTTAAGCTTTTTATAGGACCATAATACTACATGGTCTACGGACACGTTCAATGGTATTCTGTCATTGCTGTCGCTTGTTATTTGAACAATGTTGGAACTAAACTATAATGCGATACTTCTTCTCTCTCTTTCTAAATGTATGAAGTCTTCCTTATCCTACATTGAATTTGTTGCAGGTTATTCATTTTCGGTCTCTGGAAAAGCCCAAGGAGCATGATTTTTCTTTACAACTGTAAGTGCGATGAGCAAACATTATAGGGATCACAACTTACTTTTTTCATCTTGGTTGGTCATCGATTCTGCATAGGAATTTAATTGTGGCACACTTTTGAATACGAAGGTCAAAGCTCGACACATATGATGAAGTTGTCGAAAGAATAGCTCACCATCTTGGAATAGATGATCCTTCCAAAATTCGTCTCACTTCACATAATTCATATTCACAGCAGCCAAAACCTCACCCCATAAAGTATCGAGGGGTAGATAATTTGCTAGACATGTTGCTGCACTACAATCAGGTAAGTCACTCTTCAATGTGAGTTAGAGTTTAAATATGGCTTTAAAATATTGACTTAACATTATTTTTCTTCAGACATCTGATATACTGTACTACGAAATCTTGGATATGCCTCTTCCAGAACTACAAGGTTTAAGAACACTGAAAGTAGCATTCCGTAATGCATCAAATCTTGAAGTGAGTAAGCAGACACTGTAGTAATTGGACTTATTGTGAAATAATATGCTTTTGGCATACCTGTTTATTACGCTACTACATGTTTGACAAAATTATTATTTTCTAGATGACGATTCACAATGTCAGAGTGCCGAAAGAAGGCACTGTCAGTGATATACTTGATGATATCAGGCTGAAGGTATTCATTGGAACTGTAGACAATTATGTTCATAATGTTGGTATATTTTATTTTATCAGCAACTAAATAAGGATTTATTTCTTGAGTTATTTTCTTTATCCATTGTGTACAACTGATTGTTTCTGGGTTCCGCATGCTGTAGCACAACTTTCAATAATTAAGTTGCACAAAATGTTACACAGGCTGAGGTGTCTCATCCAGAGACTGAACTTAGGTTACTGGAAGTATTCAGCCACAGGATCTACAAGGTATTGGAATTCTCATTCCATGTTTTATGACTTATGTTTTCTAACCAACTTTATTGTGTATATATAATATATTCGTATCTGAAAAGTAAGTGTCTTTGGGAAAGGTAAAGTAGTGTGGTCAGTTATGTGATACCATGTACGTTCACGAGGAAGTACCAAAAGGACGGGCTAACTTGACATGCTTGAGACGCATTTAATTTGAATATGATTTTGTAACTATTGGCCAGTTGGTAATCCATACAACTTAAAATTTACCCATGAATCAGGATGTTGTAAAAAATTAGGACGTAGCATGCTTGTGATGCAATGACTAATGAATACTTGGTTCATCAGTATGTTAGAGTGGGAAAAGTAGCCATAAATCCGGAATGAAATGAATGATGGACTTCTACTCAAGATATAGATTTAGATTAAAGGGGATATTTGAGGTTTTGAAGACCCAACCTTTTGGAATTGTATCAATTTAAGGTATGAATTTTATTTTTTCTTAGTAGAAAATTTACTTTTTAAGTTATTCTCAATTTAAGGCTCATTTTTTTATTTAACTTCTCAATGTAAGACGCAACTACCTTTACTTTTTGACATATTGACATAACTATGTGAACCAACTAACTTTTTTCATACCTTATTTTATAACATAATTATGTGAAAAAAATATTTTTGTTTTGTCATTTATATTTTATATACTTATAATAAAAAATAATAAATATATATAGTAAAATTACCTAAATAATAAAATGAATCTATATAAATTACATTTTTGAAAATGTTTAATAAAGATTATTTTCAAAAATTTATAAGAGAATTTGAAAAATATATAATTAAAATATTATTTTTATTAATAATCTAAAATATGCAATAAAATTAAGAATACAATTTTCAATTTCCTTTTTTTATTTACTTCACTTTTTAATTTTCTATTTTTATTACATATTTGGATTTATTTATTATTTTATTACATATTTACGTTATTAATCAAAATAATGTTTAAATTATCTATTTTTTAATTCTCTTATAATTTTTGAAAATAAAATTTATCAAACTCTTGCATAAATATAACTTATATTGATTAGTTTCCTCATTCAAGTTAATTGTTAAATATAGTTAATAATTTTGACAAAAATATGTAAAATATAGGTTATAAAAAATAATATTGCGGTTCGCATATTTGTGTCAAAAAGTAAGTTAGTTGTGCCTTACATTTAAAAGTTAAATAAAAGAGTGAGCTTTAAATTGATAATAACTAAAAATGTAAATCTTCTATTGAAAAAGAATAAAATTGAGGCAATTGATACAATTCCATAAAGTTGGGCCGTGTAATGGAATTTCTCCTTGGATAAATCATGCTAATTTGATTGTATATGAATTGTATCATATTTTAGGACGTTATTTTTAGCATGTTCATAATGTGATCATAATTAGAAAACAACAGATTATTTGGTGAGCAAGTTCTCACACCACTTTTCAGCAACTTGAGCATGTCTGTCCATTCTGATGTGACCATGGGCCATGGACTCCTGAAAACTAGTATCTGACTTCTTATCTCATTATGGAACATGGTCATTTCTGGTGTATTACAACTTGGTTTCCCATTGAATGAGCTATATTCTTGTAGGGGGTCAAAGGAAATTAGAGCATATTAGTTTGTTATGTTCTCTGGTACCGCTGCTAGCATAGTATTCTCATACCATTTCTTTTGGACATACTTGTTTTCTTATTTCAATTTTTAAGATTCAGTTGCTTAAACAAGATTCTTTTGCAGATATTTCCATCCAGTGAAAAGATAGAAACCATAAATGACAACTACTGGACATTACGAGCGGAAGAGGTTCTCTCTGTCTCTCTCTCTCTCTCTCTGTCTCTCTCTCTCTCTCTCTGTCCGTGTGTGTGCCCATAATTCTTAAGGTCATACATCTGTTTAAGAAAATAAAATGGTGTTGCAGTTGTTACTGGTCCTGAACAGGTCATTGATTTTTACCCGTATCATGGGTTTTTTTCAGCTTTGTTCTATCATTTGCATGTTTGGTTGAATAAGACACGCATTTAGGTGTAACTGTACCTAAAGATGTGTGTAATTTTGGTCCTTAAAAAAGAGAGGTGGCTTGTGTTGCCATTATTTGTCTTTATGATCCAATTCGTCCTAATTTATTTTTGCAGATACCTGAGGAAGAACGAAATCTCGGTGAACATGATTGCTTGATTCATGTATATCACTTTATGAATGAAGAAAATCAGAACCAAATGGTAACATTATGATTGTTCCATAACCGTAATTACGTGCTTATTTGTTGAAAGCGTGCTACTTGAGATATCAATCCACAAAAAGCATGTTTACTTGCTATTTCCATTGCCCTGATAGTTCACTTCCTTTTTGTTCCTACAGAAAATTCAAAACTTCGGTGAGCCATTTTTGTTGGCCATTCGTGACGATGAGACTTTAGCTCATGTAAAGACTCGTGTACAGAAAAAGTTAAATGTGCCGCATGAAGAATTTTCTAAGGTTTTGTGCTTTATACCTTACTCAGTTATCTGCTTCAACTGCTGAATTGAACTGCCTTTGAGCATTAATCATTATCATATCCTTGATTTTTCTTTTTGATATTTGGTGTTTCTTACTTGTTGCTATGCGACAGTTTTACTTCTATTACTTATGCCTTGGATCTTTTTGTCCAGTGGAAATTTGCTTATGTTTCACAAGGCCGGGCTGAGTATCTTAAGGATTCAGACATTTTATTGAGTCGTTTCCAGGTCAATCTCTCATTAAAAAAATTAATTGTTCTTTCTGTGTGTGGCTCACCAATGGCAAAGATGAACTAACTTCTTATGATTTCCATATTTCATGGTAACGAATCTTGGTTCCTAAAGAGGAGCGGCATTTATGTTGCTTGGGAGCAATACCTTGGACTTGAACATGTAGATAATGCTCCAAAAAGGCCTCTTGCTGCTAATCAGGTACTCTGTTCCTGCACTTATTCAGTCTTGATTCTGTACTCTTCTAAAGATGTTGTGAAAGCATTTCTACTTTGTATGGGTACTGTTCCTGTTAAACTTTTACATCTCGATCAATAAATACTGCTTGAACCGTACTAAAATCATATGCATCACTGTGCAGCATATGTGGGTCGACCAAAGTGAAATATATCTTATTTTAATCAGATTGGTCTAGAAAAGAGCGCACTGGGTCTTTAAACATAATTTAGGTAATCCTTGTTAAAGAAATGGTCATAATTAGAGCTTGAAACTTTATTAAGAAATCGCGAAAACCTTTCGAATGTTCAAGACTATCAAAATCATAAGCAAAATAAAATGAGCACTGTGTACAACTGTGTGTCACTATAGTGGTCAGGCTGTCTGTTTGTGGACTCTTGTAAATTAACAATCAAACACACACCCAATCTAGCTGTTTCTAATATTATTGTGACGCCTGCATCGACTATAAATAAAAATAAAAGAACTGAGATACTTGATATGTGCAAGATTTTTAAGCTTTAGTTAAGCATGAATACCAATAACCTGTTGGGCTTGTGGACTCTTGGAAATTAATAATCAAACACACACCCAATCTAGCTGTTTCTAATATTATTGTGACGTCTGCATCGACTATAAATAAAAATAAACTGAGATGCTTGATATGTGCAAGATTTCTCAGCTTTAGTTAAGCATGAATACCAATAACCTGTTGGGCTTTAGTTGAGCATGAATACCAATAATCTGTTGCCAAATATATTACCAATTGTCAATACATTGATTTGTGCTTTGGATATATTTTCCGAAATAAGGACAATACTCAGTTTTAGCATGTATAGACATATAATGTGTTTATTATTATGATTATTATTAAAAATAATAATATATATCATTATTATAATGTAATTTCTGCTCTAACATTTAAAATTATTATTTATTCAGTATCGTCAGCCGTACGAGAAGGCTGTGAAGATATACAACTAAGAGGGCGGTTGCTTGGGTGAAATCTTTCACAAATTATCGGAGGCAGTCCTCTCTTTTCGGGGGACTACAACTAGGACAACACCTTGGAGTTGGAGTAGTAAAATGAGTTAATAAGAGGTTCTGCAGTCTTTTCTCGTATGATAAATATACAAGGAGCTTCCCAAGCCGTGAGTTTGTAAAGTCAGATCTTCATTTTGAGGCTCCGATCTACGTTTGATTTGACAGCACATGGTTGCTTTCCCAGCATTCTTCCCTTTTGAGGCACTCGCTGTCTCTTGAAGGTGCGAGTTAAAAAAATTTATTTTAGCTTTTATAGGTTTGTAGAAGGAAATTTTGGCTTGTCTATACATTTTCAGCGGGACGAATTGATGGGAGTTTTGTATAGGGATTTTTGTGAATTGTGGTGAAAAAAATGTGCTTTCATATATAGAAGCCTATAAGAGAGCATGTGTTGCATGCCATTCTCTCAGTCTTTGGACAAAATCTTCTTCTATTTATGAGAGATTTATTTTGGCATTATCATGAGTTGGGTTTTTGAATATCGATTACACAAAATATATCTGTTTGTGTTTAAGTTCCTTTTGTTTTTCAAGGATAATAAATTTCCAAAAAACAAGAAAAATAACAGTAGGTCTTCTATATTGAGGCCACAGTTTTTGAACATACGAGTACGACATGTGAATGTTTTGAAAGGGTAAAGTAAACTCTATTCGTGTGGGACTATTTGTAGGATAAACTTTACGGACACGCGTGTGTGGAAGTTTGTTGATCCATCGGATAATGGGATTGGTTGTCTACTACTTGAAGAAAGTAGTAGTACTCGACTACGTAGTTGAAGAAAAGTGTATGGAATCATTCAGTTGACTTGTTTGATTCCTTTAGCTGATTAGACCATTATATAATATAAGCTTTGTTTTGTTTTTTTTTTTTCTTTATCAAACTATAATTATTTTAAAAATTCAAAAAATAGAGTACACTTGTTATGTCTAACTGACATCATTTTAAAATTAGAAAAAAGCCTAGATCCACCCATTGGAGTTGGACAATCAATCAAGGTTATATTTGATAGAATAAGCGAGTTTATAGCTTATTTGGTTAGTTTATAAGCTCAATGTATTCAAATAAGCCTCGTTTGGTAGGATGAACTTTTTGAAAGAAACTCGATCTTATTTGATAAGCTTCCTTAGGTAGTTTTTCAAATAATCTAGTTGAATCTTTTATTCCAGCTAGCTTATCAGCTAATTTTACCAAACACTTTTATCATATAAGCTAGCTTATCATTTATAAGTCATAAGCTATAAGCTAAAAAATTAGTGATAAGCTATAAGCTAGCTTATCAGCTAGTTTTACCAAACATAGCCCAAGTGGTACGATCACCTGAACAAACTCCTACATGAGACAAAAAAACTTCAAAAAGGAGAATAAAATTAGACACAATTGAACTATTAAACAATCGAAGAAAAGTAAGAAAAAAATAGTACAACACACCTAGAAATAGACTAATTCCTCCTCCATTCTTCTAACAAACCCACCGGTGTCACCACACAAACCAACACACTAGCAGGTTCCAAGTTCCAATCAGAAAGAGTGAAGAGAAGAAGGGGTGGGCAGAAGTTGAAACGGGCAAGCTGAGGAACACAACTCAAAAGCTCTCAATTCTGAAAACACAGATCAAACTCGAACTGGCTAGATAAATCTGACGAGGAAACAACACTCGGGTCTTGATCTGAGCCCACCTAGGTCACTAGCACTGAGAGGAATGGTTGTTGCCATCTTGACCAGCATCGCTGGAGAACGAACCGCCTTCCCGACAAAACACCGCTTGAAAAGAGGACGAGGTAGGGAACACCGCCATTGCTACCTCCTACTCATAGCCAGTGAGGTGTGGCGAGCCGCCGTGGCTAACGAAGAGGGGGGTGGGGGGGTGTTAGAGAGAGAGAGGAGAGTAAATCAATTAAAGGTACATACAAAAGGCCCATTATAAAAGGCTGATGATGGTTGATTATGATTGATTGGACTATTAGAAGAGCATGATTGTGATAGCTAATTTTCTTTTATTTTTTATTTTTTATTTGTGCCTTTCATCGGTTTGTTATCATATTTTTGAAACTTATTGTGATAGTTGCATTGACTAGTGGTACCCTTTTTTTTATTAAAATTGTGTTTGGGAAAATCAGTCGAAAAAATCCTTTAATAATTAGTTATAAGAATATTTGTATACTTTAAATTTTTTTATGTTGCAATCGTAATAGCTTACAAAATAAAAATATATTTTTAATATATTAATAATAATACTAGTATCCTTACGTGTTAAGAGAGAGAGGAGAGTAAATCAATTAAAGGTATATACAAAAGGCCCATTATAAAAGGTTGATGGTGGTTGATTATGGTTGATTGGACTATTAGAAGAGCATGATTGTGATAGCTAATTTTCTTTTATTTTTATTTTTTTATTTTTTATTTGTGCATTTCATCGGTTTGTTATCATATTTTTGAAACTTATTGTGATAGTTGCATTGACTAGTGGTACCTTTTTTTTTTTTTAAATAAAATTGTGTATGGGAAAATCAGTCGAAAAACTCCTTTAATAATTAGTTATAAGGATATCTGTATACTTTAAATTTTTTTATGTTGCAATCATAATAGCTTACAAAATAAAAATATATTTTTAATATATTAATAATAATACTAGTATCCTTACGTGTGCGATACATGGATAGCGACTCTATCTAAGAGTAGATCTTCACCGTCTCTTGATCATTGTCTCCCCGGTGGTATTCGACCAACTGATGTATTTTTTATTTCTTCCCAGCCCCTTATTACTTCAACCACCATTTTCGTTATTTCAAAATTCAAACGCTGCCACTTGTCCATGCGTGTCTCTTCGCTTGTCAGTCTCCATCATTACTCCGTAAGTTGTGTCGCTTCGTACTTTGCACCCACTTAACTAGTAAATCAATTAAAGCTACATACAAAAGGCCCATTATAAGTGGTTGATTCTGGTTGATTGGACTATTAGAAGAGCATGATTGTGATAGCTAATTTTTCTTTTATTTTTTATTTTATTATTTTTTATTTGTGCCTTTCATCGGTTTGTTATCATATTTTTGAAACTTATTGTGATAGTTGCATTGACTAGTGGTACACTTTTTTTTAAAAAAATAAAATTGTGTTTGGGAAAATCAGTCGAAAAACTCCTTTAATAATTAGTTATATGGATATTTGTATACTGTAAATTTTTTTATGTTGCAATCATAATAGCTTACAAAATAAAAATATATTTTTAAAATATTAATAATAGGGTTAATTGCTAAATAAACCTTAACCTTTTTGCGTTTTTGGCAATTTTATCCCATTCTTTGGGTAATTGTAATATAATCTCGACTTCAACTTAGTTATTGCAAATTTGGGTGCAGAGTGATTGATTTAGGGATTTGTGGATCGATTTTGTGTCCAAGTCTTCCGTTGACACGGATTTTTATGCCATCCACGTAGCAAGTTGACAATTTCCACGTATTAAAGGTATATCCATGCACAAAGCCGAAAATTCCACGTCAATGTAAGCTACCGGTGATTCCTCCTAGATCTGGAGTGAACCGGTAAATATAAGCTCCGATCTGTTCGAACAGCCTTCAAATTGACCAGATTTTTGAAGGTCCAATCAGTTTTAGGTTCGAATTGCAGAAGTAAATTGAGCTCAAGATTAATTGCAATTACTCAAAGATTGGGATAAAATTGCCAAACTCAAAAAGATCAAGATTTATTTAGCAAATAACTCTTAATAATAATACTAGTATCCTTAGGTGTGCGATACATGGATAGCGACTCGATCTAAGAGTAGATCTTCGTCCGTCTCTTGATCGTTGTCTCCCCGGTAGTATTCGACCAACTGAGGTATTTTTTGTTTCTTCCCAGCCCCTTATTACTTCAACCGCCATTTTCGTTATTTCAAAATTCAAACGCTGCCACTTGTCCATGCGTGTCTCTTCGCTTGTCAGGCTCCATCATTACTCTGTAAGTTGTGTCGCTTCGTACTTTGCACCCACTTAACTATTTCTCCTGCCATAACCGTTAGATCAACACTTTTAATCCAACGGTCCTCCTCACAACGCCTATTCCACTGCCTCTCCATCGTGGCCTTTCAAACCTTCTAATCCAACGGTTAATAATTCATCTCTTTTATTCCCCTTTCATATAAATACCCTAATCCCAACACTTAGAGTTTTTTTTTTTTTTTTTTACTTTGCAAACTTTCGCACTTACATCTCCCTAGTTTTCTTTGCAATTTCGAGCTTCCTGCACTCTTCAAGTTCTCCATTTCCACCGCGACGTCTCCATTGTTCATAATGAGTAAGTTCTTCTAATCCCCCCACTTATGTATTTATTTGAATTTTGCGAATTTTACTTTTGATTATGATTTTCCGATCCCTTCGACCCCAACTTTATCCTGCTCGTTGTGTAATCCCTTACTCTTTTCTCCTTCTCCATCTCTGAAAAGCCACTGAATATCCTCCTTCTTTCTTCTCTCTCTCTCTCTCTCTCTTTTTCTTCTTTTTAACCTTTTTTACTTTTAACTCTTTTTCAGATTCTGCGACTTCGAGTGAAAAAGACCAACACGGCGGTAGGAGTATGTCTTCTCCTTCTTCCTCCTGACCCCTAGCCTTTCCAGCAACTCTGTTGAGGAAATTCTTCAGGCCGAGCCTTTGAGCATTGTTCCACCGATTATTGTCCCTCATAGTCCTTCGGTCGACGCTGTTTCTCATTCCTCCTACCTTGTCGACAACCCTGAGGGAGATGTTACCAGTCATCCTCCTCCTCCGCCACCCTAGCGTTCTCGTCGACCACTTGGTCTAGACGATAAGGACGAGGAGGAAATTGAAGAAGTGCCTGACATCTCTTCTTCTTCCCAGGTTCCTATTGCTCCCTCACCTTCTTCGACTATTCCTCCATCTTCGTCAAGCCAGAAAGCTAACCGTTCTTCCAATCCTCCTAAAACTCCA